AGAGAGAGAGAGAAAAGAATACTCCATTTCAGTCAGAGATCTATGCTATGTAACCACTATTCTGAATTTTCTCTTTCTTCTCCATTTGCTTTATCATTAAATTTTATGTGTTTTTGAATCTAATATAATGGTACGTATTCTTCTGCGACTTTCTATTTTCACTCAGCATCATGGTTTTGAGATTCAGTTCATGCATAAGAGTATTATTTTCTTTTTACAAGTATTCCACGTATCTTACCATGCTGAATTTTTTTTTTTTTTTTTTTTTTTTTTTTTTTTTTTTTTTTTTTTTTTTTTTTTTTTTTTTTTTTTTTTTCAGAGTTTCGCTCTCATTACCCAGGCTGGAGTGCAATGGTGCGATCTCAGCTCACCACACCCTCCAATCCTGCCTTCAAGCAATTCTGTCTCAGACTCCCAAGTAGCTGGGATTACAGGTGTAAGCTACCATGCCCAGCTAATTTTTGTATTTTTAGTAGAGACAGCGTTTCTCCATGATGGTCAGGCTGGTCTCAAACTCCTGACTTCAGGTGATCCACCTGCCTTGGCCTCCCAAAATGCTGTGATTACAGGCATGAGCCACCGTCCGCGCCCGGCCAATGCTGAATTTTCATATTTAGGACTATGGTGTAGCTTTCTATTTATTGAAAATCTTTTTGTTTACTTCTTTCTTTCTTCTTTTTTTTTTTTTTTTTTTTTAACCGGAAGAGTGCTAATAACGATTCTTTGAACTATGAAGAACATTCCTCATCTAAAATTTTTTTTTTAAATAAAAAATAAGCCTACAGCACCCAGTATTCCCAGGCGGTCTCCCATCCAAGCACTAACCAGGCCTGACCCTGCTTAGCTTCCAAGATCAGACAAGATACCTTTCTTTTTTTTACTTTCTATTATTATTTTGAGACAGGGTCTGGCTCTGTCACCCAGGTTGGAGTGCGTGGCGCTATCTCAACTCTTGGGCTCAAGCAACCCACCTCGGCCTCCCTAGTAGCTGGTACTGCAGGTGCACACCACCACACCCCGCTGGGCCTTTTTTTTTTTTTTCCCCCGCCTTGGTGTTTTGTGTAGAGATCAGGTCTCACTATGTTGCCTGGGCTGGAACTCCTGGACGCAAGCAATTCTCCTTCGGCCACCGAAAGTGTTGGAATAACAGGCGTGAGCCACCGTGCTGGGCCAGTTTACATTTATTTATTTCTTCTTCTTCCTCCTTCATCTTTTTTTTGTTTGTTTGTTTACATTTATTTATTTATTTAGAGACAGAGTTTTGCTCTGTCGCCAAGGCTGGAGTGCAGTAGCACGATATTGGCTCACTGCAACCTTCGCCTCCCGGGTTCAAGAGATTCTCGTGCCTCGCCCTCCCGAGTAGCTGGGATTACAGGCGCGCGCCAACCACGCCCGGCTAATTATTGTACTTTTAGTAAATAAAAATACAAAAACATGGTTTTATCATATTGGCCAGGCTGGTCTCGAAGTACTGGCCTCAAGTGATCCACCCGCTTCGGCCTTCCAAAGTGCTGGGATTACAGGCATGAGCCGTCGCGACGGGCCAGTTTACCTTTCAACAATTTTTTATAGTTTTCTTCATAAAATCTTGCATTTCTTGTACTAGATATATTCCTAGACATCTTATCTTTTCTATTACTCTTGTCAAGTGCTTTTAATCTCATTCTTTGTTTCTGCTGTCGCTCTAGAGTCTGCCAATGAGACAGAAAAAAATTATTGAACTATGCCTAATAATTTTCTAATTCTCCGCGTTCCAAAATCTTCCGCTAATTTAGGACCGCTGCTGTACCCGTAGCCCCAACTGCGCGAAACTCTTCTCAGGAAGCGCTGAAAATGTCGCGATTCGCTCGGAGGCGGAGCCAGTACGAGCTGACGTCAAGGGCACACAACACCTCAAAAGGCAGTCGAGGGCGGGGCAGGCAGGGGGGGACCTGCTGCTGGAGGAGCAGCGGCCCGAGCCGGGGCCATGGCGAAGCTCCTGAGCTGCGTCCTAGGCCCTCGGCTCTACAAAATCTACCGGGAGAGGGACTCCGAAAGGGCCCCGGCTAGCGTCCCCGAGACGCCAACGGCAGTCACTGCCCCCCATTCCAGCTCCTGGGTGAGTCGAGTTCCCCCCCGCCGAAGAACGTGGTACAGTCCAAACCCTTTACGGCCTTTGCTCCCTAGAAGTGCCCATGAGGGGAAATAAGGGGAGTCTGCTTGTCAAGCCAGTTGTCCGCAAAGTGTGCGCTCTGTGTGCTTCCTGGGTTAAAGTCGCGCCTACGCACTGGCCGCCTCCTTTCTTTTTCGCTCTTTACCGCTTTCTCATTCCGACTACCACTCCTTGCTCTTTCCTTTCCGCATCCCCCCACCCTGTCTGTCGTGGTTCGTGCTGGTCCTAGTTGAGTCTTAAGTCCTGGAAGAGACACTGCGTGGACTGGGGAGCCAGTGAATTTTGCCGTCAAACTCCCCAATTCTCTCTTCCTCAGTGCCTCTTCGTGCCTCCCCCCGCTCCGTTTTTATCTTCCCTTTACCCTGGCCTTGAATTTCAGAATGACTTTTACAGATCATGTATCCCCCGGTCCTCCCCCTAACCCCCGCCCAACCTAGCCTGGAGACCCCAGAGTCATTGTATTCTGGAGAGCTGGCGAGTGGTGGTAGGCTGTTCTAAATATTCTCTTCCTTTTTTTCAGTTATCTCACATTGTGTTACTGTCTCCTACAAACTGCCCGCTCCTACCCACATTCTCTTCTTAGTCAACTACTCTTATTTCTGATGCTTTTCTTTCCCACTTAGGATTGTCGTGGTGTCTTTCCTTTCTTCTCTAACCCTTCTCCCCATATGCACGTGCCTGCAATCCATTTGAAACTGATCTGTGGAAAGGAGCAAAAATCGTCCAATGCTGCTTTCACTTTTGCTTCCAAATCCAGCTCCCTGTGTTCCCATGATCAGGGTTGGGAAATCAGGTTCAGGTTGAGGGTGAGGAAGAGGGGTTTCTGTGGGGGCCAGGGATGTCTCAAGAGAGATAGTCAATGAGGCTAGAACTGGAGGACAAGCAGCAGGGCTTCTGAAAGGGAAGGGGAAAGACCTGCCAATGGGCAGGGTCCTTAAGGAGGCCATCTGTTTTGGCAGGATACGTACTATCAGCCCCGTGCCCTGGAGAAACATGCTGACAGCATCCTGGCACTGGTATGTCTACCCTGGCATCTGGGACTCTCTGCATCTTTCAGACCCACCTATCCTCTTGAACTTAGCCCTCCTGGGAGCAGCAGCGCACCTGGGGTGGGGGATGCTCTGGGCTCTGCAACAGACCTCTCCAACACAGACACACACACACTGTAAGTGGGCATATGTGGCACTCCCCTTTGGCATGTAGCATTGCTTTCTCTGAGGCAGCCTGAGCCGTGAGGAAAACATGTTTACTCTTGGGACCATCTTCAGGTGCTAAGTCCTGCAGTTCCCCAGTGACCTGTCCTCCCTGGCAACTAACCTCTTTGGCTGCAGGGACAGCTGTTCTTTCTGGCACAGTTCCTATGGTGATGTTTGCGCATCTCTTGGGGACCAGGCCAGGGGCTGTCCTGATCAGGGCCAATTGAAAAGGCTTGATTAACTTGAGTAGACAGAGAGACTGGCCTTTAAATGTGGTGGAATTATGTCTGGAGATGGAAGACGTAATTCTTCCATAATTCCAGAGGAAGAGAATAGAGCCTGTACCTAGTTTTCCCAGCCTCTCCATTACACTGACACACTACTTTTCAACAAATATCTAGCACCTACTGTGTGCATGGTGTCGTACACCAAATACTCTATATGATATCCCTCAGGTTGTCCATCTTGCTCAGAAGTGTAGGCCTGGAATGGCAAGGGTGTGTGTGTGTGTGTGTGTGTGTGTGTATTGACTGCCTGTCCCTGTCTCTCTGCTGCAGGCTTCAGTATTCTGGTCCATCTCTTATTACTCCTCTCCCTTCGCCTTCTTCTACTTGTACAGGAAAGGTCAGTGTGGTTTCAAAGGTGGTGGGGCAGCAAATGGGCATATTTTTGGCAGATGAGCCAGCTCCCTAAAGAGGAGAGGGGACCTGTGAGGATGGCTTGGCTTCCCTCTTCCATCAGGCATCTTCTTCCTCTTAGGGTATGGCTGTTCCAAAGAGGGAGTGTGGGGTGGAGGTTGGGGCTGAACTGGGAAGAGGAGCTGAGGGGCATTGTGGAGAGGGTCTCACATTGTCCCTCTCCCTTCCCAGGTTACTTGAGTTTGTCCAAAGTGGTGCCGTTTTCTCACTATGCTGGGACATTGCTGCTACTTCTGGCAGGTGTGGCCTGCCTCCGAGGTAGGTAGAGAGGAAACTTGGTTTGAATCTATCTGTCACTGTCACTGTCACTGGGTAAATATTAAGTACCTTCTGCAAATACAGTTTAGTGATGGGCCCTGAGAGGGAATCACTAAAGAGAGAATAGTTTAAGGCATGATCTTTTCCTCAAAAGACTTGGGTAATAAATATGACAAAATAACAAAAAAGTTTGCTGTTACCTTTTTTTTTTTTTTTTTTTTTTTTTTTTTTTTTTGTTTTTTTTTTATTTTTTTGTACAGATAGGGTCTCACCATCTAGCCCAAGATGGTCTGAAACTCCTGAGCTCAAAGTGATCCTCCTACTTCAGCTTCCCCAAAGTACTGGGATTATAGATGTGAGCCACCATGCATGTCTGCTATTATCTAGAAAAGATGCATATACCCTACAACAATTCTATATATGTATACACACTAGGGAAACTCTTGCACATGTATAAACAATATATATGTACAAGAATACAGCATACAACACTATTTGTAATAATCCTACACTGGAAACAACTCCAGTGGCTATCAATAGGATGGATAAAATATGTTCTGTGCAATAGCCATGCAACAGAACACTATATAGTAATGCAAATAAACTATAGCTATGTTCAACAATGCAGATGAAGCTGGGTGCAGTGGCTCATGCCTGTAATCCTAGCAGTTTGGTAGGGTAAGGTGGGCAGATCACCAAAGGTCAGGAGTTCGAGACCAGCCTGTCCAACATGGTGAAACTCCATCTCTACTAAACGTACAAAAAAAATTAGCCAGGTGTGGTGGCGGGTACCCATAATCCCAGCTATTTGGGAGGCTGAGCCAATAGAATTGGTTGAACCCAGGAGGCAGAGGTTGCAGTGAGCCAAGATTATGCCACTGCACTCCATCCTGGGCAACAGAGCAAGACTCCATCTCAGAAAAAAATGAATAAAATAAAATACAAAAAAATTAGCTGGGCAGGGTGGTACATGCCTGTAGTTTTAGCTGCTTGGGAGGCTAAGGCATGAGAGTTCCTTGAACCTGGGGGGCAGAGGTTGCAGTGAGCCAAGATAGCACCACTGCACTCCAGCCTGGGTGACAAAGCAAGACTCTGTCTCCAGAAAAACAAAAGTAAGGCAGATTAATTTCTCAAATGTTGTGTTAAATAGAAGAAGCTAACCACAAAATATTGTATGCAGTATGTTTTCATTTATGTAAAATTCAAAAGGGATGCACATGTTTGAAGCAGAACACTAAAGACAACAAGGGCTTGGTTTTCTTGAAAGTCAAGTGATTACCGGGGTGGGGGAGTACAGAATGGTGGAGATTCCTGCTGAGAGGTGGCTATGTTCCCTTTGTTGACCTAGGTGATAGTCACATGAATGTTTGCTTTGTATTTTTTAAACTGAATATATGTTTTATGTACGTACATTATATCTCACAATTTAAAAAAATAAAGAGGCAGAGCAGATCACCAAGCCCTAGTGGGTGCATTTGATGACAATCAGGTGACGAGGGATTCTTGAGCATGGGGATAGTGGGGTAGGGGCTGGATGGCCGCAGTTGGGTCCAGGACCTTCTGCCTGAGGTGTTCTGACCCCTAATCTCTGCAGGGCTCCCTCCTCAGAGAGGCCTTCCCTGACCACCCTGTCTGAAAGTAGCTCGCACTACTCAGTCTTGTCTTATTTTATTTTATTTATTTTTAATTTAGAAAAACAGAAAAAATTAGCTGTGCATGGTGGCAGGTGCTTGTAATCCCAGCTACTCAGGAGGTGGCGCCAGAAAATCACTTGAACTTGGGAGGCAGAGGTTGCAGTGAGCCGGGATCGCGCCATTGCACTCCAGCCTGGGCAACAAGAACAAAACTCTGGCTCAAAAAAAAAAAAAAAAAAAAAAAAAAAAAAAAAAAAAAAAAAAAAGGAAAAGTAAAGAAAAAATACATAAGTCCAGAGAACAAAACATTTTTAATTTTTTTGATATAGTTTTGTGATTTTTAAAAATATATATTTTTGTGATATTTGCTTTAAATGCTTTCTGTCAGCAAAATACTGAAGCACTACAGTTAGGGTTGGAGTTCCCATTGGGATCCTTTCAGTGCCATCTTCCTCTTTCCTCAGAAGTAATAATTGTCATTTGGTGTGGGTGTTTTTTCTGGCACATACTTTCATACTTTTATGAAACATATTTCTCAAGTCTAAGCTGCCATCAATTGTAAAATGAATACTAATTTCAGAGTTTTCAAGGGTTAAAACATATGCATCTTAGAATCTTTTTTTCTTTGTTTTTTTTTTTTTTAACTCCCAGTTTATGAGTGGAGCATCTTAGAGTCTGTGAAATATGGTATCTATAAACAATATGTCTTGTTCATTTTACATTTTGGAATAAATGTTATCACTGCATACAAATCATTCTGCAGCACACTTAAGTCTCTCATCATCTCGTTTTGGGGAACTACCATTGATGGCACAGAGTTCTGGTTCATTCTTGTATTTTCTTTGTAGAACTCATTCCTCTCTGAAATGTTCTTGTGTATTGCCTTCTCCTGGCTCTACCTTACCGCAACCAGAATGCCAGCTCTCTGAGAGCCAGGAGCTGTGTATCTCATTTCCTGCTGAGTCTCCTGTGTATAGTACAGTGCCTGCTTGGCACACGACACCTGCCAGGTCAGTGAGGAGAGAAGTTAGGGCTTGAGATGCCTCAGCAGTGAAAGGAGAGTGGACGCAATCACTGAGTGTTTGAAGACAAAAGAGCGAGTCAGGACTGAGTTGCTTCTGATTCAGACAGGAAAGCAGAAAGGAGGCAGGAGAGGAACTGTTCAGGAACTGGAAGGAATCAAGGATGGGCCGAGGAAGGAGAGGCAGGAGGATTCTTGAGGGACAGGGAGAATGCTGAGTGGTACAGTCGGAGAGAATGAGGATGGAAGAGTCAGGGGTTCAGTGAGGAAGTAATTATGGACAGGTGTCAGAGACTATGAAGCCAGACGGCAAGGGGCTAGAATATACAGAAGAGAGGCAGAAAGCAAGCATTGGAAAAGAGCAGCAGTGAAAAATAGAGAAATTTAATTTTCACAGGGGAGAACAGTAGGATTATATGTTAGTGTTTAAAGAGTAAGGAAAATGAACATTCTGGAAGATGGTAGGTTAGGGATCATCAATAAAGACATAAGCTGCAGAAGCTAGGGAGAAGCATCCTATAGCCAGTTGCTGGATATGGAGGATGGGGGTTGGCTGAGGTCTATTTCTCTACATCCTATGCCCTCAGTTCCTTTTTCTTTCACTTCTCCTTCCAGGGCCTTCTCTAGCCCATCTTCAATTCTTTTCCTAAAACCTAGATATTCTGTTTCCCAGTTTTCCTAGCACTGTTTCCTGTCCCTTCTCTACCAGGCATTGGCCGCTGGACCAACCCCCAATACCGGCAGTTCATCACCATCTTGGAAGCAACACATCGGAACCAGTCTTCAGAAAACAAGGTGAGAGGCTCTAGGAAAAGTGCCATATAGGTACCTGATAGCAGCTTCCTCAGTTGTCCCTCAGAGCACCAAGCACTGGCTTCTGCAGGAAGAGGAGGTGTGTTTTACCACCCACCACACTGGGTGTTTGCTTGCACACTGCAATAACCCTTCTCCCCTCCATTAGTGAACTGTCCATCTGAGGAATTTTTCCTCCCTACCACTTCTAATGGAATATTCTGCTAGAACGATCTTCCCCCTCTCTCACCTGCAAGAACTGGCTAAATGTAGCAACATTTCACAATGTTTCTTTTCTTTCTTTTTTTTTTTTTTTCCTTTTTGAAATGGAGTTTTGCTCTTGTTGCCCAGGCTGGAGTGCAATGGTGCGATCTTGGCTCACTGCAACCTCCGCCTCCCAGGTTCAAGCAATTCTCCTGTCTCAGCCTCCTGAGTAGCTGGGATTACAGGTGCCTACCACTGTGCCCAGCTAATTATTGGCATTTTTAGTAGAGATGGGGTTTCACCATGTTGGCCAGGCTGGTCTCGAACTCCTGACCTCTGGTGATCCGTCCGCCTCCATCTCCCATACTGCTGGGATTATAGGTGTAAGCCACTGTGCCCGGCCCACAGTATTTCTTTTTTTTTTTTTTTGAGACAAAGTTTCACTTTTGTTGCCCAGGCTAGAATGCAGTGGCATGATTTCAACTCACTGCAACCTCCGCCTCCTGGGTTCAAACAATTCTCCTGCCTCAGCCTCCCAAGTAGCTGGGATTATAGGCATGCGCCACCACACCCAGCTAATTTTTATATTTTTAGTAGAGATAGGGTTTCACCATGTTGGTCAAGCTGGTCTTGAACTCCTGACCTCAGAATCACTTGGGCCTGGGACTTGCAGTGAGCTATGATTGTACCAACTGCACTCCACCCTGGGCGACAGCATGAGGGTGATCCACCTGCCTTGGCCTTCCAAAGTGCTGGGATTACAGGTGTGAGCTGCCACACCTGGCCTATAGGGTTTCTTAGAAGGTAGTTTTCTCTGTATCACAGCATCTTGGTTCTATACAGCATCTTGGTTCTATAAATGTTTATTTTTGTTGTATGTATTTAATACCATGCTAGCCTTGTTTATGGATGGGACAAGATGGACAGGTATGTCCACTCCTGTGCCTGGGAGTACAACATGGTGCCAGGAGGGAGAAAAGCTAGGGCTCAGTGTCTTGGACGCTGTGCCAGGCTGGCTGATGCTAGACTGTGATTATCTTTGAGGATGGGCTTTGGGGCCCCATAAAGCTCTTTCCTGTTATGGGGGGTTTCTGGGATCAAACAGCTATGATCACTATCATCACACTCCTGGCTACTGCACACTATTTATGGAGCTGTGTAATGATGCCCTCTGTACGACGCTGCTGGCTGAGGCATTTGTCTGATCCTCACAACAGCTGAGTGAGGTGGCATTGTTACCCTCATTTGTGAATCTGAGGAAACAGAGGCAAAAAGAGGTTAAGTGACCCATTTGGAGCCATAGAGCAAGAAAGTGGCTAAGTCCAGATTTGAGAGCAGGTCTGAGCAAAGCCTGTCTGAGATTCGCTTTTATTCATCTTGTTTTGTTTTGCATTTACCTTTTTGTATAATTTTTCTATTGCTCTCTCTTAGTCATTTTGAAATGTAAAAAAATTTCTGCACAGAAAATAAAAAACAACACTCAAAATAGAATGCTGGGAGCTCAGGGGATGGGGGACGAATACAGTCAAGTATTAAGACACAGCTCCCGGCCGGGCGCGGTGGCTCAAGCCTGTAATCCCAGCACTTTGGGAGGCCGAGGCGGGTGGATCACGAGGTCAAGAGATCGA